CAGGTAAGAACCCTACTATGCGGCATCTAGAACGAAGTCATGGTGTTGCTGTCACGTGGCTGCATGACATGTTCGAGCGGGACTACGTGTATCTGGCCTATGAGGTTACGGACCGTATGGCTGCCGACATTTATACCAAAGCTTTTAGTGATTCCAGGAAGTGGAAACATGCGTGTATGCAAATCGGATTGCTGGAGCCGGAAAGGGCATGACCCGGTCATCGTGGCAAAAGTTCCGAAACTCATGCGGTACCAGCCACCCTTGGACCACACAGCATGACCAACCTCTTTCCAGGATGAATGTGATAGGTCATGGCTAATACCAGAACTTGCCCTTTGTTGGGTGTCCGGAGAGTCAGCAATCGCCGGCACTGCAAGCATACCTGTGCAACCGCTGGAACTGTCATTTCCGAATGTTGCAGTTCCCGGGCTTCCGGAAGAATCCATTGTACGGCTGTGAATATATTTCAAAAGGTTGTATTGTACCGCAGTTGCAATCCTCCGCGGGGACCAATTTTGAACTTACGGCTAATAACCTGCCAGGAGGCAGATCAACCACGTAGTCAAATGACAGGGCAGTTGAGGTTCGACTCCCGTGGGGTGGCCAATACCCTCGACAGCAAGTCGTATAGTAGTGGTCGTGGTAAAAGGGGGTTGTAAGGTAAATGATCTGCGTCGTCTCACGACTCGATGCGACCGCAGAATACGAACCCTTTTGCTTTGTTTCACAGCAGTGTTTGGATGTTTGCCTCGATTCTATTATCAAGGTCTTGAGCCAGTTGACTCACTTGAGCCAAATGCATTCGCATGTACATGTCGGCTGCACACAAAACACATTCTCCCTAAAAGGTTTGAGACCTTAAACAAGGGGAAGTAACAGGGTGCCTAGGATGTTTTAGCCTGCGGCTCGCGAGATTCTTAGCAGAACGTATTAGGAACGAGAAAGGAAAGGCAGGTGGATCGACAACCTCACATCCAAGGCAGAAGACGACGCTCTCCGACCTGATGGAACAGACTTCTACAATGACAAGGAGATGGAACTGTGTGAGAGATGCTGCAGTGGTCATTCACGACCCGTTGAAAATGAATCCATTGGGCGACCACTATTCACTGAAGCAGGATTACCAACAACAAGAACCGGACTACAATCTCCCATCGCCAACACTCCACGAGCGTACCCATCCTTCAAGATGCAACAAGCAGCATGCGGATCACGGCACAACGCAGCCGAAGTATGGGATGAGACGACCGGCGCCTGAATCCGTGGAACAGGAGATAAAGATCAAGCCTTTCGACAAGAAGCCAATCACCTTTATGTTCGATGCGACCTACAACGACCAGATATACAACATCCTGGAACAAGTTGGAATCAAGCCGGGGAAAAGCGCTGTCCATCTTGATCCTCGACGATGAGCCATCCAAGGCAGCATTCACGCATGTGTCTGGAGGACGGGATGCCCTATTGACCCTTGGCTTCCTCAAGAACAATGTCCGAAGAGGCCACAAAACATCATTGCGGCGGACAGGAAATGCAGACCAATTACTGGATCATGAAGAAGAACCTGGACAAAGAAGATCTGGAACAGTATGCGACTAAGATCCAAGAGTTCGCGCAGGATTTCTGCTAACATGTCAATGCTGCTAACAATCAGACAAGGACCAATCTCAGAAGAACGCATCCACCGAGACCAAGAAAAGACAGCATTCCACTGTGTGTGTGTGCGTGTGTCTGTGTGTGTGTTTGGGGTTTGGTGTGTGTTGTGGGTCCAACTGAAAAAGTTCTATGAACTGCACCAAACATCCGAGAAAAAAACAACACGGGAAATATCGGGAAGGCCTTGGACCTGGAGCCACCCTCCCAAATGGAACCTGAAGGGCCGTAAAAAGACTTTGCAGGTATCCAAACAAAGTTTCGCCTACGGTTTGCTCGGAAAATGAAAAATCACCCATTTCCCGCCGGTTCTTGGGGGTATTCTGAATGATTTGCGAGGGGTTCCCCCTCAAGAAGGGGGAAACAAGAAGCAACCTGGGTGTCCGGGATATGGCCACGAACCACGAGGATCTCACCGTGCGACTAAGCAGAAAAAGCGGGCCTCCCCAAGCCCAGGCGGTGGTCCCAAGGCCGCAACCACGTCCACCGAAGGCGGCCTTGAACAAAGGCGTCTCCCCCAGTTTTGGGGCGGGGGGGGTTGGTTTCCCTAAGCGCCCCAAAAAGGGTAGCCTGGGAAAAGCAATGATGAATTAAGAATGGAACCCGCCAGGGAAAGAGTCGTCAAGCACAGGGTCACGATGGAGTACCTCAATCCTAACAACCTCGCCGAACTCAACCGAGACATGAGCAAAACTGAAGCGGAAGAAGAAATCAAGACCACCAAGGCAAGCTTCAAGGACTTCGCGCAAAGGTGTGAACAGGATCCTCAGAATGTTCACAAGGACCTCACCCAGTGTGAGATTGATTCCCTGAAACTCGTCGATCCTGACGCACACGTTGATGAGGAAGTGCTCTACTCTCGCCACCGCAGCAACAAGCCATCCATGGCAGAGTACAGAGATGCACAACCAGCATCCGGATATCCGACTCGACTCCCACGTGGACTGAAATCTCTCAGGACACAAGATGATCCCGAAGTGATCAAGACATATACGGACATCCTGCAAGCGACCGAAGGGCCAGTGATGGACAAGTTCCAGGCAAGTGACTGCTACTTCTCCATGACCGTCAACACACTCACAATGAACCATGGGAACCTCGCGAGGAATCCGAAGTTGGACGGCAGAGAGTTGAAAGGCATGCCCATGCGAGACAGACCACACGAATGTTACTGCGCAACAGTGCTCACATCATATGCCTCAACGAAGCGGGCTCGCTTCTCGATCCCCAAGACATGCAAGGAACTCACCCGTTTGTTTTTCCTCACAGGATACAAAAGCATCGTGATCAAATCCTGGTCTGCGAGACCCATCGCATGTTTTGTCCGTGGCAATGAGCACGCCAGAGTCGAACTCTTGGCAAGATACATCTCGACAAGATCCCAAAACTGGGGAACTACATTCGGGATGTTCATATGTTTCTTCGGCACCGAAATCGGTTGTATAGATCCCGAGTATGACACGCCAACCTTCGACTGCCTGGCAACAACCGGATCTCACATGACAAAGAAGAACCTCAAGGACTATGTCGGCCAGAGATTGCCACCACGCACTGCCATCCAGGCATATGAATTCCGAGGAGCATTGCCGAAGTCAACTAAGGCTCCGAATACGGACTACGATAGTCGACACATTCTTCGAGCCGGACTTCCATATGCTACAGTTGGAGTTTTCCATATCCATCCGAATATCACTCATGGAGCAGCAAGAGAGGGTTTTCAGAATGGAATCATGCCACTTGTTACGACTTACCAATGCGACGCAATCACTGGCGACGCCAACAACTCCGCCAACACTTACAGTAGATTGCAATGGGTCTATAATCCGGAATATGGATTGATCAACCTCATCACGCAGACATATCAAGACACATGGAACACGACAAGGGGATGCCTATTGAATAAAGAGTGGATTATGCCATGGCTACCTCCTGCGCTATGAAGGCAATTGTTCGTCACCATCTCTGTAGATGAAGACTGGTTCTGAGTCATCGAACATTTCCGGACTGCGTGATGACATTTGTATTTGGGTGGGGAAAGACCGGCATCCAAAATCGTTTTCGAAGATCCGAGATTGAGTCCATGACCGATGAGGAAAAGAAGACTATGCAGGACAAGACATCGCTAATCATTTCCGATTACCAGGTAACATCAGCCAAGCGTTTCAAGCACATCACCAACAACATGTTCCTGAATGGCGCGTGTGACGCCGATTCACACAGCCCGCCCATGGTCTACATCCGAAGACGATCTGAAAGCAAGGAACAAGACACTCAGACAGGCAAGGAGTACAATCAAAAAAGAAGGAGAACACTTGGGGAAGTTCCTGGCAATATAACAAGGCTTACGGCTACGATCAACCTGGATGGAAAGGCTATAGTTCCTCGGCTTGGTATGACTACGACTACTACAATCTGAAACCAGCAACCATCCGTGGAAGCGATGAGATGGCTTCAGAATCTCAAAAGAGAGATTAACCGAGAACAGCACCACGAAGAGCGACCAATTGATCCTCACCATCAACAAGACTATTATTCTGTGAGAGATCAAGAGTTTCACACCGATCCTGCATGTGCATAGCATTGTGCATCATCTTTTGGTACAATTAGGTATCTGCAATGAGTACAGAGTTTTCTTTTCCATTTGCCAACAAAGACATTTCATCCGCGCCAAAAAGGGATGAATGAATACAGTTTTACAAATATGATAAAGATATATATCTTATCTTCACTGACGCATCTACGGCTACGGTACACACTTGAGTGGCTACGGTCAAAGGCCAAGAAGCCAATAGTAATTCAGCTCTAAAGAAATTTGTGTCTGTTTTGTGATTGTTTTTCGGACCCATTGATCTCCATGCAACACCATTTTGGCTCAAGGCCTTTCATGTCACGCTACACAGCTCACTGAGCCATTGCATCCGTGATACAAAGGTGCTACAGCGGACCACTGTCAGGGTAAACCACAGCACACAGTCAACCAGGGCTAATCCAAGATCAACCCATCAGTATTGACACTTAGGACTCTCCGGAATAGATCCAGGGACCAAATAAAGATCCTCTAATACCACAAGGTATCGGTTCCCTTCGCGGATAAGATACCAAAAAGGGCAACATCTCTGACAAACAAGGGGGTGGGGGGGGGGGGTTCGGCCTGATACATCAAGTCCAATGCCTAACTCAAGCTTTTCGACTGCCCCTTCTCAGCAAGCTGAGGTTAACGAAAACTTCAGCCTAGCTCCAAGGAGCTAGCTTGTGCGGCTAAAACAGCCATTCCACTTTATCCGAAGCTCCCGCAAATATGCATTGTTTAGAGGCGTGATGTTTGATATTCCAGCTGGTCTCAAGCCAGCCTCATGAAGATTGCTGTACTTTCTGCGCTCACTCCGCGGATGTGTAGACGCAGTGCACCTGCAATGCAAGGGAGGCCTGACCCCCTGGCAATGCCATGGTCAGCTCTGCACCCCTCGAAGCCTCAGGATGGTGACATGCCTCCCTTCAGCTGAGAGTTGCAAAGCCACGTCAAGCGCATCTGAGCCTCAGGGAAGAAGCACGGCTTCTTTGGCAGGTGAAGAATGGTTTGATACGTTTTGATGAAGGACTGTCAGTAAGCATCAGGCTGCAGTAGCATTGGATTCGTTGCCTCTGGCAACTTGCCTGGCACATGCACGCTGGATGCTTTGCGAGCCATTTACCTGCATGCTACACGCGAAGCAAATGCTATTGTGGAGATCACTGAACTCACAACGGCACACATTCACACATGCGAACACAGCATGGCTCATCCCGCTTCACAAACAGCTACGCGATATTAAGCTCAAGAGCGCCCTGCTTAGCTTATACGCTGATCCGCATCCATGAGCACGTGCTCAAAGGCAAGCTGCTCGAGGCAGGCTACTAAAAACTGATCACATCAGTTGCAGGAACATGTTACAAATGTTGGCAGAGAAGGATCAAATCCAAGCAACTCAATCCAAAGCAGGCAGCCTCTTCAATCCGAAGTGAGGGCGATCAACCCCAAAGGAAAACGGATCCGCGTTAAGTGAGGGGGCCTCATGAGTCACAATCAAAACCTGGTATTCAAATGGTCTACCCAAACTGAAGTAAAGAAAGGCGGCGGCGCCGAATTCTGGTTGGGAGTGCGCCGTACTAACCTTCACTTACCCGGGCTTTGAGTATGGCTCACATGAAGAGGGCACATGTTCCATCAAGTAAGCCGACAATGTGCGCCTGTTGGCACAGGGTGGTCCGACTCTGCGGAAGGAATAGATCCGAACAAGAGCCAACATCGTGAACTCACAAAGCTTGGCAGGAGTCCTTCAAGGAGCTTTGTGATGGCATTGATCCAGCGGGATGCAAGCAGGAAATCGGTCTCACCAAGTGGCCGCAATCCACCTCCAAACACAAATGGGTCTGGCACGTCACATGATCGCTGGCAGAACTTCACTCACGCAAGATAAACCTGAGGTCAGTACCTGCTTCGGTGGTGAAGTCATGGAATAGCCCCCCTTGAGGCACGCCTGAAGCTAAACAAATGTTGACGCGCAGCCAGAATTTGCCGCTAGGATGTCATCACATGATTGGCCATGTCAGGATTTCTGAATGCAGGGGATACTAGCTGGACACTGTAAAACAATGCCCCGACTCTGCCTGCGCAGTTCCCACAAAAATCGCTGCAGCAAGCCACGAAGTCTTCTCAGCATCCTGTGAAGTGGAGCAGCCGGATTGATAGTTAGCGGCGAAAGTCTGGACAGAGCCTCGCTTGCCTCCTTCAACGCTTCAATGACCCTGGATGGTTCCAGCCTGGCTCACGGCTGCTACTTCGCCCTTGGGAAACCCCTGCAAAGAACTCAGGGACGGGCTGCCGAAAGTCATCACCATCAAATTGCGCAAGTTTCCGCGACTCTTGAATCCTGGAACCAAGCCGCAATTCTCAAACCCACCTGCGAACGGCCTCTGGGGTGCCCACAGATCGGAGAGCCTGGCGGCTCTTAGCACCTCAGAACAGACAACCGAACATCCAACCCTCGCAACTCACAAGGTGCCTGATCAGGGCAAGGACCTGGCGACAGCTTGAGTCTGTGGGCAACAATCAAAACCCTCGTTTGCCACTGCTGGAAGCACGTTGTCAATCACTTCACATCAACAACATGACGCTCGCTCGTTCGATTTCCACAGCCCAGGCACAATCGGCCTCTTGTCTCATAGAATGCGTGTATGAATCCACAAGACAAACCTGCCGCTACAACACATATGTGCGTTGGCTCAATTTCAGCGATACACATTGCGTCCAGACCAACACAGTCCTCTGACTCTGATCTGTAATTTGGAAGACCAGTCTCTGAGAGATGTTGTTGGGCACAGGGCACATGGCTGCTTGTGGGTCCCTTGGGCCTGGGGGGTGTCGGGAAAGCTTTGTACAAATGGTTGTTTTTTTGAGGGGAGGCTGAAAACACACAGGGTCCCTTGTAGATGCAAAAAACACTTGTTCCCTTGCAAACAACGCATGGGTGTCCACGAAAATTATAGATGATCATGACAAAATGATGGATTTCCATGACACAATGATGAAAATACATCAGCATAGACCCCCACATAGCGAACACGTGCCAACGATTGCAACTCTATCAGCACTGCCCGAAGAGCACCTCAATGAACCCCCGAAACACCATCCCAAAACAGCACCTGCAAAGGAATCCCCAACTTGCATCCCCCGAAGCACCCCTGCCATCAATCTCGCAAAAACACACCTTGCCGTCACCAGGCCCCCCAAAACAGCACCTGCTCCAGCACCACCCCGAACTATACGTCCCCCTAGCACCCGGCCGTCAATCTCGCACAAAGGTGCCCTCAAGCCCCTAAAGCCACCCGCGCCATCACTCAACTGCATGCCCCCCAGCACCCTGCCATCAATCGCAAATATGACACGCCCGAAGCACCCCCAAACAGCGTTCCCAGAGCGTCTGGCCATCAATCTCGCAAAAATGCGCTCATCACCTCAAACAGCACCCCAAACAGCATCCCAAAACAGCGTCCCAAAACAGCGCCTGCGCCAGCACCACAGACTGCATGTCCCTAGCACCCTACCGTCAATCTTGCAAAAGTGCATCCTCACCGTCATCTGCGTGCCCCATAATCCCACTGGCACGGCGACCCGCTGCCTGCCTGGCGCTCGAACCAAATCCCACCGACACGGCGGTCCGCACCCGCGAACGCTCCCATCCCGGAAGCACAATCCCACTGGCACGCCCACGTTCCAAGAAAAGCGTGCCTAGTGCTACTCGTCTTGTCTCTACCAGGGGGTACAAACAAAGGCAGGGGCCCCGCCTGGTGTCTTTTACCCCCCCAACAACAACAGCAATAGAAACATCTAAGAATTGAATACAACGCAGGATGTCCATGGCAAAATGATAGATGTCCATGAGTCAATGATGGGTTCCAGCATCTCCATGAACACATGCAGGATGTTCATACAAACTCATGGATTTCCAGGACAGAATGACAAAACTTCATGACAAATGTATGTAATGAATGGAATATACACTGAATGTAAGCTAATACTGTACTGCGCGTATGTATGTTGGAATGTACTTTGATGTATGTACTGTTTGTGATGTACGCAATGCATGTATGTATGTGCATGCCTGCATGCGTGCGTGCGGTGTATGTATGTATGCATGCATGCATGCATGTATATGTGTATGTATGTATGTATGTATGTATGTATGTATGTATGTATGTATGTATGTATGTATGTGTGTGTATGTATGTATGTATGTATGTATGTATGTATGCATGTATGTATGTATGTGTGTGTATGTATGTATGTATGTATGTATGTATGTATGTATGTATGTATGTATGTGTGCATGTGTGTAATGTACTGCGCTGTCCTGTCCTGTCCTGTACTGTATGTAAGTCCGCCGACATTGCTCGGCGTGTCGGATACTTACTAGAGGATAGAGGATAACCCCCCCCCCTAACCCCCCCCCCGCCCGACGTCTATTACGTAGGTTTTTTTTTGGGGGGGGGGTCCCCCACGTACCGCGCGGCAATTTGATGACGTTCCACTAAACGTAGTCTTCGGGGAGCCGGTGTCGCAAAACAGGGGTCCCAGGCTCGATTCCCCCTGCCGGCTTTTTTGCTGGCTTGGGCTTCCTGCATCCTTTTGCCGAAAATCTGGAAAAACTCAATGTTTTTGGACGTCCTCTTTGCGAAAACGCTGGAAAAACCGTGTTTTTTGCGGGAAATACATACATACATGCATGAATGCATAATACATACATACATACATACATACATACATACATACATACATACATACATACATACATACATACATACATACATACATACATACATACATACATACATACATTACATACATACATACATACATACATACATACATACATACATACATACATACATACATACATACATACATACATACATACATACATACATACATACATACATACATACATACATACATACATACATACATACATACATACATACATACATACATACATTCATTACATACATACATACATACATACATACATACATTACATTACATTACATACATACATACATACATACATACATACATACATACATACATACATACATACATACATACATACATACATACATACATACATTACATACATACATACATACATACATACATACATACATACATACATACATACATACATACATACATACATACATACATACATACATACATACATACATACATACATACATACATACATACATACATACATACATACATACATACATACATACATACATACATACATACATACATACATACATACATACATACATACATACATACATACATACATACATACATACATACATACATACATACATACATACATTACATTACATACATACATACATACATACATACATACATACATACATACATACATACATACATACATACATACATACATACATACATACATACATACATACATACATACATACATACATACATACATACATACATACATACATACATACATACATACATACATACATACATACATACATACATACATACATTACATACATACATACATACATACATACATACATACATACATACATACATACATACATACATACATACATTACATTACATTACATTACATTACATTACATTACATTACATTACATTACATTACATACATACATACATACATTACATTACATTTACATTACATTACATTACATTACATTACATTACATTACATTACATTACATTACATTACATACATTACATTACATTACATTACATTACATTACATTACATTACATTACATTACATACATACATACATACATTACACTTACTTACTTACATTACATACATACATACATACATACATACATACATACATGCATGCATACATACATACTTATGTACATGCATGCATACATACGAGAGAGGGAGATTGGGGAGAGAGAGGCTTGGGGGGATGGGGAGGATGGGAGCAGAGGGAGGGAGAGAGGACGACAGAACACACAAGGGAGACAAGGAAGAGAGGAAGAAGGAGAAAAGGGAGAGGACAATGTCGGCGGACTGAGCCGGAGGCTCTAAAGTAAGTATGTATGTATGTGTGTATGTGTGTATGTAAGTATGTATGTATGTATGTATGTATGTATGTATGTATGTATGTATGTGTGTATGTGTGTATGTGTGTATGTGTGTATCCATGTGCGTAATGTATGTAATGCACGTATGCGTGTATGCAATGTGTGTAAAATATGTCGTGTGTGCGTCGTGTATGTAATGTGTGTAATGTATGTAATGTATGTTTGTATGTGCGTATGTAGTGGATGTAAGTATGAATGTGTGTATCTAATGTATGTATATATGTATGTATGTATGCATGCATGCATGTATGTATGTATGTGTGTCATGTATGTATGCATGTATGTCTGTATGTAATGCATGTGAGTAATGTAATGTAATGTAACGTCAAGTCAATGTAATGTAATGTACTGTAGTGTTCTGCAATGTCGTGTATTGTTTTGTAACGTTTTGTGATGTAATGTATGTATGAGTTGCGTATGTGTGTGTGTATGTGCGTACGTATGTATGCATGTACGTATGCATGTGTGTAATGTATGTAATGCACGTATGTGTGTATGCAATATGTGTGTAATATATGTCGCGCGTGAGATGTATGTAATGTATGTAATGTATGTAATGTATGTAATGTATGTAATGTATGTAATGTATGTAATGTATGTCATGTATGTCATGTGTGTCATGTGTGGTATGTATTTATCCATGTAGGTAAGAGAGCAGCTATGTCTGTGTGTATGAATGAATGTATGTAAGTAGCGCGTGTGCTTCGTGTCTGCATGTAGGCAGTCCGTATTTATTTGCCATGCAAACCCATCATGTTTACGTGAACATCCATCATTGTTCATGTGAGATCCATCATTTGTTCATGGACACTCATATTGCCATGTTTACGTGAAAGTCCAGCATGTGCATGAACATCCTTCTTTGCCATGAAAATCCATCATTGGTTCATAGCACCGTTCCACGAAATTGAATATCCATCACTGTTTCATGAAAATCCAGCATTGGTTCATGAAACCCATCAGGTGTTTGGAACTCCAACATTTTTTGAAGATCCAAAATCGAACATCCATCATTCCTTCCTGAAAACCCATCATGATTGCACAGAAATCCATCATTGCCATGAAAACCATCATTTTTCATGAACATCCATCATTGTTAAAATCAACTACTTTATCATGAAAATATTTGTCATGAAATCCATCACGTGTTCGGGAAAATCTGTCTTTGTCCATGAACATCTACCATTGTTTGATGGACATCTGTCACTGTTTCAGGAACACTGTGGTTCATGCAAATCCATCATTGCTTCATGCATGTCCTTATTTTTGCATGCAAATCGATCTGACAATCCCGCACTTGTTCATGAGAAGTCCGTTTTGTCAAGAACATGTGAACATCCAAATTTGTCCGTGCAAATCCATCATGCTTTCATGAACATCCTCATTTCTTCGCAGCAATCAGCTTTTGTTCATGACAGTCATTTTTTGCGCGACTCTATGTTTTTCATGGACATTCACATGTTTTCGTAAATCCCTTTCTTCCCAAAAACATCTCTGATGCGACGGGTTCTCGTTTAGTCGGAGCCTTCCGCGATGGGAGCGATCGCCGGGCGCGGACGGCTTCGCGCCAGTGGGGTTTGGTCTCCAGGCGTTGCCAGGCGGTGGCCGCGCCGGTGGGATTTGCGCCGGTAGGAGTTGGTCTCCGAGCGCTGCTTGGCGGTGGCCGTGTTCGGGGGCGGACGCAGCTGCGCCAGTGGGATTTGGTCTCCGAGCGTTGCTCGAAGCCTTTTCGAGCGGCTGCGGGGAAGCCCTAACAACTCGCAGGCCGTTTCTAACCTTTTGTGGTCTTCCGACTCCGTACCTTGCACCACGTGGTGCAAAGATTTGGAGACCACCCGAAGCTCATCCAAGCTATCCAGAGGACCACGTCGCCTTCAGGGCAGCTTTTTTGGCTTCTGGATTTCTTTGCTTTGGTTGACGCCGGCAAAGGTGAAGGCAATGCGTCCATCCTGTTGGGACTGTCCGTAGGCCCACGTACGTTGGCTCCCAAGTTGCCAAGGCCCACAATGTGACCTGGCACTTGTTTTTCACAGACGAACCAGCCTGTCCAGCTCGGCGGCATCACGAACGAGCTGAAGTAGCTTTCCAGATCCTCGCTGTCAATCAATCAGCACTTCTCCCTCATCCGGATGAGTAGCATTCCCACCTGGCCATGGTAGGGCAAGGTCGCCTCTATCTTCTTCAGTTCTTTGAAAAACGATATGACCTCTGCCGTCAGACGCCCTTATTCCATTTTTCGATGCCCCCTGCCCGCCGTTCAGAACCAAACTCCAATCTTTCCCTTGCAGGAAGACTTCAGGCTCCACGGCTCAAGGCCGCGGCCACAATTTGGCTCCATTCCGTGTTGGAGGAGGCCCGCACTTTGCTCACGCGCGGCTTGTCCAGCCACTCCTCTTTCGGAAGTAGGCACTCCTCAGGATTCTCCACCAATCGCTTCGAGTCGCCCGTCAAGAACTTCGACACGTTCTGCGCTGCGGCCTGCCCCACCTCTGGCCAGTAGGGCGCACTTGTTCCGCATAGAGTCTCCTGACCGCCTTCCCAGAGTAATCCACATCCTTCTTCAACAGCAAGTCCTTCAGATCCTCCACCCCCCACGGGGACTGGCGCATGAAGAGACAGCAACCACTGCGTAGCCCTCAGAACCCGCTCCATCATCGCCCCCTGGCCTGCGTTCAGCACCTTCTCATGCTCAAGTGTGATTGGCCGGTCCCAACACGGGAAGTTCAAGGACCAACACAGCTCCTCTCTTGTCATGGGCAGCGGATAACGGTCCTGCCAGGGTGGTTGCACGCGATCCCTGCAGCCCGGACAAACGCCGCGCCATCCATGATCCAAGATCGCGAAGGTGTGCTCCAGCACGGAGCCACTCTTGAAAGACGCCCCGCCTCTCAGTGTAGTCGCCCTGATCCAGCTGCTCCTTCAAGCGGGCCCGTGCGTAAAAGCCCTTGCCCGGCGCTGGCTCCCCTTCGGGGCAAGACAGGGTTGGAACTCACAGGCAGACCACGCTTCGCTTGCTGAAGCTCTGAGTGAGTCGTCGCCGGATGCATCCAAGTCCCCAGCAAAGCTCACACGGGGCCCATCCGGCCAGCTCCACGCGCAAGGCCAGCGGAGTGCCGACCCTCACCCTGGTGAGGTGCCTCTCTCCTTAAGCCAACAAATCCAGGCAACGCTGGCCCTCTGTGTGGAGGAGCCACCACCGAAGGTTCTCATTGCTGGCGCTGACGATGTCTGCTCGAAACCATTGCCCGTGCTCCTCCGCGAAGCACCCTTTCACCTCCTCGAAGCCCTTTTCACCAGTATACCATCGTGAGCGAAAAGCCCGCATTGGGCTACGGGGCCCCACAAAGGCCCTTAAGTGAAAAAAAGCTGCAAAACCAACAAAAACATAAAAGAAAACGCTCCCCTGCAAAGGGTCACTCAATATGATCCCCTCCCCCCGGCAGAACAGGCGGTCTTTGTCCTGGCAGTCATGTGCGTATCTTGACGTTTGCATATGTTTGCTTCGGTTACGCCTAACACGCACACACATACACACACACACAGCTACATGTACATGACACATAAAAACACATCATATCGCCAGCCACAGCCAGTGTTCTGCCTAGCATGATCCTTCAAAAAAAATATTCAAACACCAAGCCTGAATCAAAGTCCATAGACTGTCACCGCTTCTTTGTTGGGGCATGGTTGTAGCAGGTGGCGGCAGGCACGCCTGGCTTTGCCAAGCCGTAGAAAACTCCAGCCGTCACCTGGGAAATGCATCTGCAAAACTCGCTATGCAGCAGCATGAACCAGCACACGTGCGCTCCTCGTGCCCGTGCTTCATGGCAACAGCTACAGGGAGATTGCGCAACTAAAGAAAAATCGCGGGTTGGTTTGTTGGCTTCTTCTTGAATTCCATTGCTGAGCAGTGCAGAGTTGCGACTTGAGCCCTGCTAGCCAACTAATCTTCTGCAACGGCCACTGATACTGCTTGAATGGTCGCAAGTGTCGCCTTAGAGTAGCTTTGCTAGTGATGCGTATGATTCGTGCAAACAAGACCTTTATCGCCGTGTGCCATCCAGCTCTCTTCTTTTCGCATTCTTTGGTGCCCAAGACTCCCGCGCTTGCTTGACCAAATCGAGTGAACAAGCTACCGCCCTCCCCAGGCTGCGTATCTTCTAGTCCCCAAGCTAATTACCTGTACATTAAGCCACGCGCTAAAGGCAGGCAGCCTCCTGGCCTCATGAAAAATATTCTACGTCTTCCTTCCCAGATTCACAGTCGGAGAAAGGACGTGATGCGCCGCTGCTTCAGAGGCTTCCTGGAGCAGGGCGCATTGAAAGCCGATAGAGCAAGACCGGGAAGCCTCGGTCGCAGCGTCTTGACCTCAGGCCTGGCTCTGAATTCCCAAGCCGAAGGTGATACGCTGCAAATCAAAAGCAAGGACCCAGCAGCCTAGCATGGCGAAATCAAAGGGGGTCGTGCCAGGAGCGGGAGACTTTGAGTGGAAACGGCAACATACTAGGGGCCTTGGAGATGAGACTCGGCATGAGCTGGAGCGTGAAGAGCTTGAAGAGCTTGAAGAGCTTGAAGAGCTAGATGAACGCTGAGGCCTCCTGCCACCGAACGGAGAGGCCGGGGATTCACCGACGTCGCAGCTTACCAAGGCTGACCAGGACATCTTGCCAAATAGCATGTCCTCATGATGGGCAAAGTAGCACCTTGCTCTCGTGCTGGTGAGCCTTGCTTTTGCTCCTGACTACAAAGCGGCAAATTCGTGGTGATACTCTTTGGCCTCTACGCATTTAATTTGCTTACGGAGCAACTCACATATCAGCCCTGTCATAAATTGCTCAGTCCATCATGGTACAGCACTGTCCTTTGCAGCTGTCTCTCTGACAAAGATGCTGCGCCATTTGGCAATGAGTGGCGACACCTGACAACCAACTACAGCTTGGCTGAAGCTTGAGCAAACATAGCAGTGTCTTGCCTTGCTTTTCAACTGTGGGAATTGCGGTGACCTGGAGAACACTTAAGTTGCTGCAGTCAGACCAGCTTGACGGACTTGCAGGACTCCCTCTACGGCTGCTGCACTTCTCGCAGCAACTTTGGTATCAGAGTCCTGACAAACGCAAGGCCTCAGCCTTTGCGCTGTAGGCGTCATGATGTCATTGCTTTGAGGGGGTCGGGTCTGTCCTTCGCAAAAGCTTTGCATTCACTGACAGAGAGTCCAGCTCCGAAATCAGACCTTGCAAAGAGGCCTGGCTCAGCCGGCGGCTGATCGCAAAGTCAAGCACTCAGGAATGACGCATCTCACTACAGGCGCCTCGTCTGCTACAGTTCTGAGTGCCTCAAATGGCCAAAAGGGCGCTGTAGGTTCGACTCTTCACGAGCAATGCACCATCGCTCTCTCCCTCTCTCTGTGTATGTGCGCGCGCGCGTGTTTTCATCCTCAACACTCTGTGTGTGTGTGTGTGTGGCGTGTTCACAACTACTTATCATATGGCCGACCTTTTTTTTGCGGGAATCTTTTCCAGCGGCTTGGGAAATTGTTATCCGTTCGGGTCTGGGGCGCGCGTAGGGTTTTAAGGTAGTTGGGGGTTTGGAGTGTCATGATGGGCTTGAGGATAGGGTTTGGTGTGTTCGGGGCGTTTCGGGTGGGTTTCGAACGGGTGCAGGGTGCTCAGGGTGGGTGAAAGGTGGGTTTAGGGGGTTCAGGGTTGCCTTAGGTTGGTTTAGGGTGTATAGAGGGTTAGATGGAGCTTGGTTGGCGCAAGGTTGGTTTACTTGGTTCAAGGTCAGGCTTCGGGTAGGCTTAGGGTAGGTTTAGGATGGTTTGGGGCGGGAAGGTTGTAGGTTTAGGGTAGGTTTAGGGTAGGTGTTGGATGGCTTTAGGGTAGGTTGGGTGCGTTCAATCGCCACCTTCACTAGGATATTTGGGAAACAGGACAGGAGAATGAAAGCAGCTGCTGAAGGAGCTGAGTGACAACCATCTAAGCTCTTGGAGGGTGTTCAGGGTTGGTTTAGGTTTTAAGGGTCCGTTCAGGTTTGGTTTAAGTTAAGATTGGGTGGTTTAGGGTGGGTTTAGGGGTTCAGGGTTGTGGGTTTAGGGTGGCTTGCGGGTGTGCAGGTGGGTTTATGGTGCGTTGGGGGTTGGTTTGGGGTTGGCTTAGGCTGGTTTGCGGTTGCTTTGGGGTGGGTCGGTTTAGGATTGGTTTAGGGTGGGTTCAGGTGGAGTTTGGGTTGGTTGGGTTGGTTGAGTTGAGGATAAAGGCCAGTTTGGTGAGGTTTCGGGTGTTTAGGGTATGGGTTTAGGCTGGATTTAGGGTGAAGGCACGTTCAAGGTAGGTCTAGTTTAGGGTAGGTTTGGGGTGTGATTAGGGTGAGGCCAGGGTGGGTTGAATGTGGGTTTAGGCTTGGTTTCGCGTGGGCTTGGCGTAGGTTTGAGATGGGTTGAGGGTAGGTCTGAGGTGGGTCGGGGCAGGTGTGGGGCAAGTGGTCCCCCTTGCCCGCGTGCCTGCTTGGCCGCTTGCCCGCTTGCCTGCTTGCCCCTGTGCCCGCTTGCCTGCTTGCCCACTTGCCCCCTTGCCTGCTTGCCCGCTTGCCCGCTTGCCTGCTTGCCCGCTTGCCCGCTTGCCCGCTTGCCCGCTTACCCGCTTGCCCGCTTGCCCGCTTGCCCGCTTGCCCGCTTGCCCGCTTGCCTGCTTGCCTGCTTGGCATGGGGCTCCATTAATAAGAACCCTTGCAATGGCTAAGCGGAATCCCTACTAGGAGGGCCCATGACTATCCCCTGCTAACCCCAAGTAAGCACGTCTTTCAACATTGGCAATTCGGCAAAGCAAGTAAGTGTGTGAGCGTGGCACTTGGGCTAGTCTTCTGGCTGCTTTGAGATTCGAGGCATCCTGTGCAGCCTGACAAACAGGTTGCAAAGCAACTTTCATGGGAAGACGCTGCTGAAGTAGGCAAGCATGCGCCTTCTTAGCTCGGCAGCTTGCCAGCAAGGGACCTGAAGCAAGCGGTTCTGTCTCGGTGACTAAGAAATATGGCTACTTTGCTCCCAAATGCATGCCAGCTGCCGATACGCCAGCTCTTTTGCTTGGCTCGTCTTGCTATCGCCTGCCAGCATGCTGTAATGAATCGCAAGTGTCCACTGCAGAACGCCTGATGTCCCACCAAACAATATGCATGCAGGCAATCCCGTGGTCATGTTTGTGCGCACTATGAACAACTAATATGGGGCGCGCAGTAGTCTTCGTTGAAGCAAGCTTGGCATCGTGGGCGTTAAATATGTGTTTTTTCTTCTCAAAACGTGATCGGCCGAGGCCTATGCGAAATTCGGCCGACAAGGAGAGTTTCGGCCCACCGTCCGCCCCGGCCACCCCCCCGCAGCCCTGACCAACCTTCTCAGCCGTCCCCGCCCCGACCGACCATCCCACGCACCATCGCAACCCATCCCGACCGTCCCGACCGTCCTGACCACCCCGACCATCCATGTTGATCATCCCGACCGTTCGCGACCAAACTATCCCATGATCCCGGCCGTCGACTATTGCAGCCATGTCTGGAGGCAATCACCTCTCTGACGCGCGCACGAGCTTTTCACGCCAACAACACAACGAAGCTGCCAACTCGCGAACGAGCCAAACTGCCATTCCGAACAAACCACTGGACAAATCCACTGCCAACTCCCGAACAAACTGCTAGACAAAGCCACTGCCAGTTACCACTGGACAAGCCCACTGGACAAACCCCGAACAAACCGCTGGAAAACCCCCACTGCCACTTCCTGAACACACGGCTGGACAAGACCACTGCCAATTTACACTGGAAAAAAACCACTGGGCAAACCCACTGCTACCTCCCGAACAAAACGCTGAACAAACCAACTACCATTTCCCGAACAAACCACTGGACCAACCCACTGCCACTCTTCCCGAATAAACCACTGGACAAACCCACTGCCAACTCCCAAACAAACCGCTGGACAAAGCCACGGCCAACTCCCGAATAAACCACTGGACAAACCCACTGCCAATTCCCAAACAAATCACTGGACAAACCCACTGCCAATTCTCGAACAATCCGCTGGGCAAACCCACTGCCTATTCCCGAACAAACCACTGGACAAACCCACTGCCACTTCCCAAACAAACCACTGGACAAGCCCCACTGCCACTTCCCGAATAAATCACTAGACAAACCCACCTGCCACTTCCCGAACAAACCGCTGAACAAGCCACTTCCCGAACAAACCGCTGGACAAGCCCACTGACACAGCCACTGCCAATCGCCATAACAATCCACTGCCCAACCGTGCCGGCCATCTCATGGCTCCGGCCGCGCCCGACCCGGCCATCCCGACCACCCCGACCGTCTGCAGCATCTCATGCCCGGTCCGTCCTGATCCTCCACCAGTCTGTTTTCTGAATTTCGCGCTGTTGTTGTCTGAATTGTGTCATCATGCGTCACCCGGCGGTAGGTGTGGTCATTGAGGCGGTAGGCGTCGCTTTCACGGTTTCATCATCAATTAGCGTGCTTTCGTACCCATGTTGCTTCACAACTGTTGTAAACAAAAGCACACTTTTGCAGCTCCATCTCGGAAGTCGGTACAGGTGCAGCTTGTCAGTACAAGTGCAGCATGCAAAGTGCACTTTGGCAGCCCGAGCTCGCAAACAAAGTAAACGACCCCGCGTGGCACTGAGAGGATAACTTTCGAGGTGCCAGATTTTGGTTCTCCTCGAGCAATGAATGATGTGTGCGACACAATGAACCTTGTCTGGAGGTTTCGAAGCTTCCCTCATCTTCCATTGACATCATGCTGTCCTGAAACGGCTTCTGGCAGGTGCAACAGGTGCCTTCTTTGCATTCGACTCCCACTTGCCATTCGGGCCCTGGCTGCAGTGGCATTGTCATCATTGTCATGCAAGTTTCATGCTGTCCAAGCTGACCTTTTAGAGCACTTTTCTCAAGAACTGCATGCGTCAAATTCCCTTCTCTTAGCCTGACGATATCGGGCCAGCTCAGCACGGCGGCGGCGAGTTGCCTTGCGCTGCGACAAAGCGTCATGCCGGCGTCTTCACTGGCTTGTTGTATCGGAATGCCATGAATGCTTGCTCACCTCGGTCTCTCGTCGCCCCATCAGCTAGTCCACCGTGCACAACTTTCGTTAAAGTGCCCTATTGTGATCTTTGACCTGCTCGCAAGCGGAACCAAAGGATCAAGGCCGCGTGATGCACACAGCGAGGTATTTGATTGGTGCATGGTTCTGTAAGTATAGATAGAGCAAGAACACATCTCCTGATGCCGAGCCGAGGCACACAAATATTCACAAATAAATTACATGTGTATCCTGCATCTGCAAAATTCCTTGAGCACGAGTGCGAAGCACGTTGACAAGCAATGGGGACAGGCTTGCTCCGCTGAAGTGGCACAGCAATGCACCTCACACCTCAGGCAATCTGTGCTTTGAACTCGCCCAATTCTTGCGGCTTTGTAAACACATCAACTATCCGATTGGTGCGCAATTCAAATGCTCGGGGACGTTATCTGCTTCAGCAACTTTGCTGAGGCTCTGGAGTGAGACAGGAACGGGAAAAGCATCCATGCATTCGCAGGACAGGTCGGACAAATCACTGACAACACTGTCCACTTCTGGTCTGGGTGCTGTTTGGTGTGCTCAAGGCGGTGTGATGGTTGTGCTTGTTTGGCAATGCAGTGAGGGTGGATGCAGTCAGAGTGCTGGTCAAGGTGCTGGTCAGGGTGCTGATCTTGGTGATGTTGTGGGTGCTGGTGTGTCAGGGTTGTGTTTGGTGTGCGCTTGCTTGTTCTCTCGGATGCTTGCGATGTTTCTTGGCCACATCAACTGGGATTTGCAGCAGAAACATGAGCCGCTTTGGTCAACTCTTCCATGCTATCTGGGGTCTAGTTGATTGTATAATCTTACCAAGAGGCATGGACGGCTGCATTGTCAGATTCAATTGTTCCAAGTTTTATCAACATTCTGGTGAGACATCGCCATTCCAGGTTTGCCGCTGCGACACAGAAGGGCCTGCAGGGAACTGTACTCAGCACATGAATGATTTCACCCGGTGCAAGCTGTAGAATGCGGGGCACAACTCTTGCTACCAACGCTTCTGTCAAAACGGCCGCTGGCAAATGCGCAACCGGCCTTCAAAGGACAGCTCCTTGGAAGGTCGCTTGGATGTGGCTTGCGCACGACTAAAACAAAACACTCCGATGAACCTGATGACCCGAAGGACAGAAGCAATACAAGCAATACATGTCGTGTCATGCGGCAATGCGTAAGTGTTGGCAAGCATCACTTTGCTTGCCAATGACCTCAACGTCAACTCCTGCATCCGATACTGATGGCGATAGGAGCCCCTTTGCAGAATTTGTTGATGCCAGTCTCAAAAGTCGCGGATCTTTGGAATCTTTGGAACTGATTTCCTGGATGCGTGCTAGAGACGCATCATCCAAGTCCAAGTGTCCGAGAAGCACTCGAATGGCATCGTGCCCTCCCCATTGGCCAACCAGCAAAAGCGGGCAACATGCCAGTTGAATGAGGAGCAAGGCACCACCAATTGCAGTTGCTGTGCATGTCAAGGGCCCGGCCACGCAAGCAAAAGTCTCATATTGCAGAACAAGCTCTTCAAGCAGCCTCATCTGCCACGTATACCACTCGTAGGGTTGGCAGGCTGAACTTCCATGCAGGAACAAAGCTCTTGCAAGCTCCGCCTCTCCGAGCAGGCCGCAAAGGCAAGGAGAGAAATCGCTCTCTCGTCGGCAAGGCGGAGATGGGCACAAGTCAGCAGTGCAACGGCTACTCTCTCTCCGCATAGGACACCGTGCTGCGTAGTGAAAGGCTGCAGTTGCAGACTCCACCAGAACAACTGCACCGATGCCCAGGACTGCTAGCACCGCCAGAAGCGTAACGGGTGTTGCCTTGGGCCGGCATGTCCCCAAATGTCGCAGAGGCAAAGCCAGAAACAGAAGTCCGGCTGCAGGCCACGCCGAAGCCCAGACTGGTGCAAACTCTTGGCAAGACCAGCCCCAGCAATCCATCTCGTGCAAATGCTGGCAGGTGTTCAGCTTCTCGCGGCAGGGCGACCAGTAATAGTCAGCCACCAGCCCTCCAGAAATCAGCAACAATTCCAGCAAGCTTAGAAGAACCAATATTCGCCAAAGTTGGCGAACAAGTCGCAAGTCGGTGACTTCTGTCTTTCCAATACCATCAGTAACCCTGATGGCATCCTTGACGGAGATGCTAGAATTGCTTTTGATGCTAATGGTACTGTATTGAGAGCTTAGCTGATCGTCTCCTTCGCTCCACGTGGAACTAATGTGCACTTTCACCGTGGCAATCTTGTCTGCTATGAGCACAGGCAAATCTGCCTCTGGGTCAGCACAAGCGCCTGAAGACTGCTTGCCGATGACCTCCGGTTCTACTTGTTCAACGCGCGGGCTCGGCCTCAGCTTGGAGAGTCTGAAGAGGCAAGCAAAGTCTTACTTGGGCCTTCTTTCCCTTCGGACAGAAAAGGGCTTCCCAAAGCTTCAATGCGCTTCAATGAGTCAGGGTGCTTCTCTGCCTGCAAAATTGTGCTGCCAGAACTTGCTTTGGAGGAAGCTGATGACTCGGAGTGTGCGGTGCTCTCGGATACACTGGCATCCTGACAGTTCGTCCCGTGTCCGTGTTGGTTCCCAGTGCTTCTTGCCTTGGGCCTGCCTTGGTGCTGTCCTAGACTTATCCCATTGCTGCGAGCTGAGGCAAGACATGAGACATGCGTGTTACGTTTCTGCTCATCTGTGATGTATCTTTCAGTGGATTGGCAAACGTGAGAAGTATGGACATTTGCGTGAGTCAAGATGTAGTTGAGAAGCATGTTGACAAATGACAGGCCAAACACAACTCGGAGGAAGCGCTACTGATGACTGGGCCATGTGAGCCTGTCCATCTTGTACAAGGCTCAAGGTCGAACCAGTCCTCAAACGAGTTGTCATCCGATGGTGGTGCTTCCACACTCCGAGTCTGCTCACGCGGGGTGGCCCGCGCCTGCGCACGGCCTTGGACGCCAAAAAGGAGTGTCAAGAGGCTCAGGGGGCTCAAGGGGCTGGCGAACCATGCTGAACTCTGCATCCACAAACCTTGTCAGCGACTGCCTGCAGCACACAATCAAAGCTCCACGTGCTGAAAGGAGAAGACACTGTGCACTTCAATTTGCTGCATTCCTCACAAGCCTCACGCCGGCGCGCAGGGCACCGCAATATCTAAGGGCGTCGCAATGCTGGCAACTCTTCGGCCTCCTCTGCCATATCCGCTGACTGCATGGCTGGCACACCCTCTGGCAGCTTCAAGACAGCATCCTGCAAGTCGGCCTGGCAGTGAAGCGGTTGAAAATCTCAATTTGTTCAGCTCTGGCCTCTAGGTCCTTCCACTTCTTTTCCCATGCAGCGCCACGCAGCCCTGAGGTCTGACTGAGCAAATGCCAAACAAACCGACAAGCAAACTTCCCGAACACCTGTCCTGCGCGGCCGCGAGCCTCGGAGCGCCTGGCCCGCACTGAGCTACTCTCCCAGTCAGGCTGGCCTGCCAGGGCCTGGAAGGCGCTGACATCTCCTGGGAAGAGCAAAAGCAAAAAGCAAGCCAAGCAGAAAGATTACAAGCAAAGAGAGCAAGCAAAAAGCAAAAAGCCAAGCAGAGAGCAAGCAAAAAGCGAAAAGCCAAAAGCAAAAAGCAATGCTGAAATGTGAAAGGCAAGCGTGTGCTCGGGTCCTGTAACCTGCATGAACAGCTGAGGCGCCTACGACTAAGCCACCTTTCTAAGGATTGAGTCTTGCAAGTGTCATGGGCCATCCAAAATAAGGTTGTGTTTCAGCGACTCAAAACAGTCTTCCGTCTTCCGTACCTGCCGCTTGCAACAATTGGGATGCGTCAGCCACGTCACGTGAAACAGCTGCGGACAAAGAAACCTTTCCGAGGTAGCTCGATCCGCTAAGCAACCGTTCCATCAATAGCGGCGTCTCTTCTAATTCACCTCGCGGAGAAGGTCCACGCCGATTTTCATCCATAGCTGCCCTCCCATGACTCACACGTCGCCCCAGCCCACCCAGCCCAAGGCTGCCACTCTACCCCTCACCTTGCCGCCGCCCTAAAGCAAGCCCACCCCCAGCCCTGGCCGGCCGCAGGAAAGCTGCGCATTCATGTGCCAGCAGCCTTGTTCCTGATGCGGCTGTCCTTCAGTGGCGGATACTTTCACGCAGCTGATACTTTCACGTGCGGCAAGAACGGAGATCAAAGCAAGCCTCTAAGTCAAATAGCCCCTGGCCGAAGTAAGCAGTGCAAAGCGTTTACAATGGATCCTGTGATCTCCCCCACGATGTCAATTGGCTTAAACTTAAGATGCGCAGGTGAGACCTTTTGTGTGGCTTTCCAAACAGACAATAAAACAAAAGGGGAAAAGGAAAACAACACAGAACGCAAAAAAAGCCGCTGCCCCCAACCCCCTGGTGGGGTGGTGGGGTGGTGGGGTGGTGGGGTGGCGGGGTGGTGGGGGTGGTGGGGGTGGTGGGGGTGGTGGGGGTGGTGGGGTGGTGGGGTGGTGGGGGTTGTGGGGTGGGGGTGGGGCTCTGTGGGAATGAGGAAGAAAGGAGCCTTTTGTCTTCACAGAAAAAGCCCCAATCGAAGCGCACGGTAATCCACCACTCCCGGTCTCCCGGTTGTTTTCGTGTGCTCATTTTTTGCTAGTTGCTGCGTGTTTGGCTGTCTTTTTTGTCTGGTTTTGTTCGGTGTGTTTTCTGTGTTTCTTTTTTGTGGCTTGCCCGCATTTGCCTGTTGTTTTCTGCTTGTGTTTATTTTTTCCTGTTTTCCAAATGTTGTTGATGTCCAAGGTTAATCCTGGCTTTGGATGTCGCAAGCTTAGTCAAAACAGCAGGTGCTGCAGGCATTTCTCCTGCGATGAGAACAACTGAGCAGGTTCTAGAATGCAAAAGGGTCCGCAGGCTTTGCTGCACCAGCAATTCCATGCGGCAAAACGCTTCACAACCACCGCTCAGAGCGCCCAAGAAAGTATAGGAATGAGGCACACGCGGAGAGCAACATGCCTTGCACTGCCGCAAACGCCAGCCACTTCCACACATGGCTGCCAAGTTCTTTCATGAATCCATACGGCCAGCAGCCGGTAATTGCATGATTGGTGTGGACCATGCAGAGAAACATCAGCATGTACACCGCATGAATACATAAGGTGTGGAATGCTGATGGCATGGCAGCTGAGAGTGCGTGGCTGTCCCTGGCTACCATATCCAACACTGCTATAACAATAGGCAAAGAATGCCGCAAACCATCCACGAAGCCAAAGCGAAATCCCCTTGCCGCCCACACTCTGCAATTTTGCTTGTGGTCCGGATGGGAGAAAACCAAATTGAAGTACTGGACAGTCACGAACACACCAGTAGCTCCAACAACAGGAGCAGCAGTGTAAGTGCCGTATGCCAAGCGCTGACTGAGACATGGTGCCAAAACCGATATGACAGAATGCACTGCCAATAATCCAATGGTCTGGTGAGTCAAATAGACCCATCGACCAAATGGCCCATAGGTAACTCGGAAATCATCAGCCGCCTCTTTTGTGCCACGAGGTAAAACATGAATTTCAACATACAAATTGTATACGGAAATGATGGCCGTCAGAAGCTGACATGCGAACATCGGGTGCAGGAGTACGTCCGGGATATCGTTGGTCGATGTGCTCAAAATGGAGATGTACAAAATAGAAAGCAGACAAAGTCCAGCAAAATCCATCTTGCGGGTGTAGCGATGTTGCAGCCTCTCCTCCCGATCATATTTCCCGGGGGGGCATCTCAGCAATTGGCGACTCAAACTTGACCCCTTGACGAGATGTTCGTGCGACATGGTGCTGGAGCACTACCCACATCCATCAAAAGCCTGTCAAGCCGAAATGCTGATAAGAAATACAGCTGCATACTTGCAAGCACGGACCCTGGACTGCAAATGATCTCTACGTGTAGCAGTCTGATGCGTTCCGAATAAGTCTGATGGATTGATCAAGTCTGATGCAAGGCCTGCAATGCTACTCATGAGTACATGACGCTTTGATAAAATTCAAGAAACATGTGTCGCACAAACGGGCCTCTGACTGACAATCGGTTTGCATTGGTCGCGTTGACCGTCAATGACATGTCTGCTGGAAACGAGGGAACCATTTTGCAACTTACGACGCAACTGAAACTGGCATCTGCTCATTTGATTTTCACTGTCTCGATGCATGGTTGAATCTTCTTGCTGCTAGCCCACATTACCCTCCACTATTGGCATTTGACAGTTCATCCTTCGTGATTCCAGGCATTCCAGAGTCGCCCATGTTTCTGCGAAGGGAGAAAAGGAGCACCAGACTGGGCACGGCAAAGAGCGCTCCATATGTGATGTAAACGTACATCTTCCACATGGGTGCACCAGGCGCTGTCGGATCCAGAGCTTGATACACAGTGGCAAACGCAACAGGACCCAGAGCACCTGCCACCTGAAATACTAGGCCCAGTGCAGACTGCAACATGCCTTGCTGACTGGGATCGGCCGCCTTGCCGATTATCCCGCCAACCACAGCAGAGCCCATAACACTAGGCCCAGCAAGCAGCAGGTTGTTCACGTAGATGTGCCAAGGCTCAGTGGAAAGCATTTGTGCAACATTGGACAGCACGCAGGCAACTGTGCTTATAGCAATCAGACCCGCCTGCCCGAATGTGCGCAATAGGATGTTCACTCCCATGACAAGCCAAACTATCTGGGAAATCTGCTCAACAAAGCCACCGGTGTAAGATTCTTGCCTGCTCCACGCCAAGTGGCCCTGCAAAAATCTTGCCAGCATAGTGTAGTAGCCCGACCAATGAAACGTGTCAATCACACCGATGGCTGTCAATTTCTCGACAACTGGACTCTGGAACAGCATTTGGAATGCGGCTGTTGGCAGCAAGTCTGAAGGCTTAAATGGCATACGCTTCTCGACGGGCAAAGACTCCGGCAAAATGAATATTGCCAGGAGCAGAGCGGCAATTTTCCCGCCGAATTGCACTAGGATCGACATCTTCATGGTCAAAAAACTGCCAAGCGCGGTGCCAAAAATGCCACACAGTACCACAGACCCTTCCACAAGGCTGATTCCATAGACAATGCTTGGAGCGTGGTCCATGCGGTCTATGTAGTAGGCAAAGGGCACCGAGTTCCACGGGACCATTGAAAAAAAGCCGAGCGCAAAATCCAGCCATATCGGTGCTTGAAACCAGGCCACGCACATCGTTCCAGCACTCGCAATCACCATGCATGACCGAATAAGAATCACTGCTGGTTTTCTTCCGAAAGCATCGCTCATGGCTCCCAAAGCAGGTCCCACAAAAAACTGCACCACGGGGTTGGCAAAGCCTGCAACTGGCCGGACTCATGAGTAAAACCGCTACAGTAGCCCCAACATTGCTGACTGTCAAAAAAGCAGTTGGTGAGTGCAGATGCTAACTGAACTGCCGGCCCCATTCGCAGCATGAGATGAGAGAACGTGAGGGATGTCCGGGTGAAGCCGCAAAGTTCAAAACATTCAAAAATAGTCAAAACACATCGGGGTAAAGTTTCACATCCGAGGCATCCGAGGCATGCGAGGCCCCCAAGCACCCCAGGCACCCCAAGCACCCCAGGCACCCCAAGCACCCCAAGCACCCCAGGCACCCCAGGCACTCCAGGCACCCCAGGCACCTCAGCAGGCACCTCAGCAGGCAGCCTTATCTGAGAGGCCTCATCCGAGCGGAATCATCCGACCGTCAATCCGATCGAAAGCGGAAAGCGCCTCTGAGGACTTGAATCTGCAAGACCCTGGACACTGCGTTTGTGCAGGCTGGAAGCGCCATCTGCGTCGCGCAGTCCACGGGGCCCGAGGAACGTCCAGCGAAGTAGTTCAAGTAGAGGTACTCCTTGGCAAGGGCTCTTAAGATGCTTGATGACTCCTGAAAGTCGCGTGGAACATGAACTGTTGAAGCCTGTGTTTCTGAAAAGCGACGGCGCACTGACACAAGCAAACACGCCATAATCAATGCTGCGAGCCCTTTAATTGTCTTCAGCAGTCATGTACGCTCAATCCTATTGGCATCACGCAGTGATTTGCGCGATGAAACTCAGCTCAATTGTCAAGCGCGGTCAGCTTTTGCGAGATTTCGAAAGTCCGCAACTAGCTGAGATTCACCAGCTCATCAACTGTCTTGCAGACTCACGGCTTTTGCCTAGCCAACCAGCTCGCTTTTTGACAAAGCGCCTACTTCAGACTCATTTTGTGATCGACTGACTATCGCTTCGCTGCGCTTGTGAGGGGGGAAGGGGGGCTTGTTCGAGCGTGGCCAACATCTGCGTGCGCTAAGCGCATTTTTCAACACAGTGCAGAAAACAACTACAAGAAACGAGCGCACAACGCACTTGTCTGCTTGCTGCTGGGAGTGTTGCGCGCGCAAGCAAGCCCAAATCTTCGCTAGAACAACTACAAGAAACGTACGTGAAACAATTACAAGAAAGCACGTGTCTGCTCATGCTGCGAGTGTCGTACGCGCAAGCAGGCGGCAACATATTGGCGAAACAACATGTTTTAACACAGCGCAGAAGCATGCAAGAAAAACTACAATAAATGCACGCGGTTGCTTTCTGGTTAAATTGTTTAGTCGCCAACCTGCCAACCGGCCAACTTTCAAACGAGTCCAGTGGCAAGAAAAAATCTCAAAAAACCAGCGTAATTACCAACGAAGCAGCAATCTGAGCAGCCAAGACCAAATGATC